AAATCAGAACTGTTACAGACCTTGAACTTCAAGGATGGAACCTTGGACTGATGGCGCGCCCCTGATTTTAAATTAGGACACTTACAGACTTACAGACATTGAACTCCGAGGATGGAGCTTTGGACTGATGGAGAACCCCGGATCTTTAAAATCATAACTCTTACAGACCTTGAATTCCGAGGATGGAGCCTCGGACTGATAGAGCGCCCCTGATTTTTAAAACAAATCTTTTACAAACCTTGAACTCCGAGGAAAAAGCCTTGGACTGAGGGGGCGCCCAAGACTTGTAAATCAGAACTCTTACAGACCTTGAACTGCGAGGATGGAGCCTTGGACTGATGGCGCGCCCTGATTATTGAATCAGAACCTTATAGGCTTAAACTGCGAGGATGGAGCGTTGGACTGAGGGGGCGCCCCTGCTTGCTAGAGTAGTTAACTTGAGACGCCTGAGACGCTTGCGCCCCTGCTTTAAATACGCTTGAGACGCCCGAGACGCTTGAGACACTTGAGACGCTTGAGACGCTTGAGACGCTTGAGTCGCTTCAGACGCATGAGCCGCCTGAGACGCTTAAGACGCTGGGGATGCCGTCTTGCGTCTGAGACGCTTTGCGGCTTTGCGGCGCTCTGCTTCTTTCGAGCGCGCCCGGGCACCCCAACCCCCTTGCAATCTGGGCTTCGATGTTCGTAACCCTCAAGCCACCCCCAAAACTCTGCGCTTCGTCCGAAAGACGTGCGCGAGCAGCCAAGTCCGCGGAGGTCTGCTGGCAGTGTGGGTCTAGACTATACTGTACGCGTCAGTGTTTTAAGACATTTCGAACTTCGGCGTGAGTGTAAACTACTTATCCTTATCCTTGTTATCAATATTAGTAGTATTAATGTCCGTATTGTTACGAATTCTGAAACGCTCAGGAACTCATTCGATGGCTCCTGCTCTGCACGAATAGCTACTCTTAGGTTCGTTTACGACGGCCTTTTTGATTCTTACCGACGAAGCACTTCGTCCAGAAGCATGTCCAGCCAACCGAAAAGAGGGTCATCAATGTTGACTCCAGATTTGCTCGAGGTTGCAAAGAATGGCCAGCCCTTCTGTTGCGCAAGCTGCTCGGCCTCCTCTTGTGTCACTTCAGGATCCTTACTGTCCCAATAAGCCCGGGACATAAAAGGTTAAACTTGCAGATTATTACCAAAGCTGTGAGAACCCCAGAAGTTAAAAGGTTGGGTATTGGACTAAGGATCCGGAATGTCTACATGGGTCCCGACCAAACACACGCATCGGCAGGAAAGAGGATGCCTCCCCTCTGCTTCCTCCAACATTCGAAGGACTTCGGTCAGGGACTCACGACTGTGCAGCGAGAAGAACGCCATGATTCCCGAGGCCCCTCTGTAGTGGGCATTTGTGATTGTCCGAAAGCGTTGCTGCCCAGCAGTGTCCCAAAGCTGTATTTCTATCCGCTGCCCATCCTCAGATTGAAGGCGCAAGAGCTTGAACTCTACGCCGATGGTCGGCTGATACTCAGAAGTAAAACTATGCCGGCCGACGGCCAGCATCCACGTAGACTTGCCGGCTCCCGCCGCCCCAACCAGAAGACACTTTACCAAACGATGTTCGGGAAAACCGTGGTTGTCTTCCCAAAAGGTGTAGTTGCCTGTGGCTCTTCTGACAAGGCATAAGCCCTCATCTTCGGTGAGGTTCAGCTGCGATAGCTTCTTGCCTTGTGGGATAACCTCGGTGCCTCGCAGCAGCGAGAGACTGCCACGCTTTTCCGTGCGGAGGCTCTGCAAAATAGACCGCACAGTTCTGCCTCCAGGCAGCTTTTGCTCTAAAAGCACATCACCGGACGGAGTGTAGATCCGTATCGGGAACAGCTGAAGATCTTGGGGATCTGAGCGGTTTCTCTCGCCTTCCGGATATCTGGGCCCAGCGCCACTGTCTTCGACTCCCGGTACAGCTGTGTTTGCAGAGGTGCTGCCGCCCATGAGTTGACCCATTTTTCGCTTCGTTATCAAGCTCTCATAATCCTTTGCAAACCTACAGTTCTGCCATCGGGTTGGTACTGCAACCACATGCTAGTAACCAGCAAAGCTTTTGTCATTTACGGCTTCTTACGCTCTCTCGGACCATGGCATGGCTACGGTCAACGCACTATGTGGGCTTCGATGTTCGTAACCCTCAAGCCACCCCAAAACTCTGCGCTTCGTCCGAAAGACGTCCGCGAGCAGCCAAGTCCGCGGAGGTCTGCTGGCAGTGTGAGTCTAGACTATACTGTACGTGTCAGAGTTTTACGACATTTCGAATTTCGGCGTGAGTGTAAACTACTTATCCTTATCCTTGTTATCAATATTAGTAGTATTCATGTCCGCATTGTTACGAATTCTGAAACGCTCAGGAACTCATTCGATGGCTCCTGCTCTGCACGAATAGCTTCTCTTATTTTGGTTCTTACCGACGAAGCACTTCGTCCAGAAGCATGTCCAGCCAACCGAAAAGAGGGTCATCAATGTTGACTCCAGATTTGCTCGAGGTTGCAAAGAAGGGCCAGCCCTTCTGTTGCGCAAGCTGCTCGGCCTCCTCTTGTGTCACTTCAGGATCCTTACTGCCCCAATAGGCCAGGGAAATAAAAGGTTAAACTTGCAGATTATTACCAAAGTTGTAAGAACCCCAACAGTTAAAAGGTATGGGTATTGGACTAAGGATCCGGAATGTCTACATGGGTCCCGACCAAACACACGCACCGGCAGGAAAGAGGATGCCTCCCCTCTGCTTCCTCCAACATTCGAAGGACTTCAGTCAGGGACTCACGACTGTGCAGCGAGAAGAACGCCATGATGCCCGAGGCCCCTCTGTAGTAGGCATTTGTGATTGTCCGAAAGCGTTGCTGCCCAGCAGTGTCCCAAAACTGTATTTTCATCCGCTGCCCATCCTCAGATTGAAGGCGCAAGAGCTTGAACTCTACGCCGATGGTCGGCTGATACTCAGAAGTAAAACTATGCCGGCCGACGGCCATCATCCACGTAGACTTGCCGGCTCCCGCCGCCCCAACCAGAAGACACTGTACCAAACGATGTTCCGCACAACCGTCGTTGTCTTCCCAAAAGGTGTAGTTGCCTGTGGCTCTTCTGACAAGGCATAAGCCCTCATCTTCAGTGAGGTTCAGCTGCGATAGCTTCTTGCCTTGTGGGATAACCTCGGTGCCTCGCAGCAGCGAGAGACTGCCACGCTTTTCCGTGCGGAGGCTCTGCAAAATAGACCGCACAGTTCTGCCTCCAGGCAGCTTTTGCTCTAAAAGCACATCACCGGACGGAGTGTAGATCCGTATCGGGAACAGCTGAAGATCTTGGGGATCTGAGCGGTTTCTCTCGCCTTCCGGGTATCTGGGCCCAGCGCCACTGTCTTCGACTCCCGGTACAGCTGTGTTTGCAGAGGTGCTGCCGCCCATGAGTTGACCCATTTTTCGCTTCGTTATCAAGCTCTCATAATCCTTTGCAAACCTACAGTTCTGCGATCGGGTTGGTACTGCAACCACATGCTGGTAACCAGCAAAGCTTTTGTCAGTTACGGCTTCTTACGCTCTCTCGGACCACGGCTGTTGTGTCAGGTGCGGGCACACTGCAGCACTTGGAGGAACTCGTTACTACTGAGACTACTGGTCACTTCCTGTGACATCAGTGGTTTGAAACTGAAATACCGGAGCCCAAACCACAGTTTCTCAAACACAAAGGACGGGTTGAGTCTTGCAGAAACATCAAGCAGTCACTCCTATTCGTCAATTCCACCGCAAAGTCTTGTCGCGGATGCCCGAAAACCCCAAACCCGAATCTCTTTTGTTGAACCCGGGCTCTGCTGATCGCTAAAACCCTAAACCCTAATCCCTAAACCCTAAACTCTAAACCCTAAATTTAAAACGCTAAACCCTGATCACTGACCCCGAAACCCCGAAACCCTAAACATCCCGGACTGCAGGTTCGAAGCTTCAAGCCCTCAAGGTAGGGTTTAGGGTTTAGGGTTTAGGGTTTAGGGTTTAGGGTTCAGGGTTTAGGGTTTAGGGTTCAGGGTTTAGGGTCTAGGGTTTAGGGTTTAGGGTTCTAAAACCCAGCCACTCCAATAGGGGCTTCAAGATTGGAATAGGGTTCCTTTCAAGGGCTTCTTTGATAGGGTGCTGTAAGGGCCACTATAAAGGATTAGGGTTTCGGGGCCTTAATAGTTAGAACGGGGTTTTGGGGTACGGTATATTCTACTATGACTATAATAAGGAGCCAAAAGAATAGTATTGGTAATGGTTCAGGCCGGTCGTTACAGGACAGCCTCAACCCGGCAGTCCCAGAAGTTTGTCCCAATAAAACCCTGACAGATAAAGGAGCGGGCCCAAACCGCCTGAAACCCGAACCCCAAACCCTGAACCCTTCGTCCCTAATGGCCTACTACCCCCTCAGCCCCTGATCCCTAAGCCTTCAGCCCTTCAAAAGCCCTAAGGGCTTGACACCCCTAATCCTTAGGCGTGTACGCCCTAAACTCTTAAAACCTACGCACATACTCATTAAAATCTTAAACCCCTACATCCCTAAACCCTAAACTAGTCCTTAACCCCTACGCCCATGGCATAAGGGCCTTAATAATGATTAATTTGGGGTTTTGGGGCCCATTATACCATGACTATAAGGAAGCCCCAGAATAGTATAGGGAAGTATTGGGAACAAAACCTAAACCCTTACTAAACCCGTAAGACCAAAACCTAAACCCTAAACCCTTGAGCCCAAAACCTATACTAAAACCTAAACCCTAAACCCTTGAGCCCAAAACCAAAACTAAAACCTAAACCCTTAAGCCCAAAACCTAAACTCTAATATACCCGGACACACACCCTAAACCCTAGACCCTAAACCCTAGACCCTAGGCCCTAAACCCTAGACCCTAGA